GTGGTGCAAGCACCCGAGCTAGAGCTCTACACACCTTCCAATAAATACGCGCCAAAGCGCATTCACAATTTGCAGCTACAAACCAAGGATGAGGCCAGATCAAAGGGGATGTGAAGGAATCCAGATGAGCCATGGATTTTGGGTCGATATGGAGCAGGATCTGCAGGGTAAAGATGGTGGTGATAGGGGAAATCATGCCCATGGTCTTCATCCCACCAGATTGGAAAAAGGGGGAGAAGGAGAGAAGTTTGTTTCAAGGAGGAAGAAGAAGGAAGAGGAAGAGAAGAGAAGAGGAAGAGGGGAGGGGAGGGGAGGAGGGGCAGACCACCTCCCCCCAAGATGCGGCGCTGAAGAGGTTGGAGATTTTGTTTCTCTGCTAGGGTTAGAGAGAAACGGCGCTAAAGCTATGAACTGAAGCAACTTGGACTATTAAAAGCCTTTTTGTTATGTTGTAAATGGACTTTGGGTGTATTTTTAAAGTCCATTTCATATATGGTTTTTTTATATAATTTGGGCTCATATATTGGGTATAATAGTAAATCTCCTAAAATAATATTAATAAATATCTACTTATATTATAACACATATACAAAATATACTACTGACCATACTACTGTAATATTCTATAATCACTCCGTGATTACATGCATATGCATCCAGAAGTTAGCAATGCCAAAAGGAAAATAACGAAGTTTTATACTTTGCACACGTCACGTTTGCGTACACCAGAAATGCCTTGCCACATAGTGCTACATGCATCAATTGTCGTGTGCAAAACATGACAGGTCCTAAAATGCATGCACGACACTTCTAACGTATAATCCACTTACAAAAAAGCAAAATATAAAAAATAAAAAATAATCGCATAATGCAAACCAACTTCACTTGTTTAAAAAATAAATAATAAAAAATCCTTACCGTAATTAGAGCTTTGATGTGAACTCTTGTAAGTATCACCTCCTCACCCTCTACGCTCCCTTTTTTCCAACAAATCAAGCAAAATTTCTAGAAAACCTCC